TCAGATGGTTGCTCCCTGATTATAATCAGAATAAACTGGTGACTTGCAACTACTCCTCGACTGTGCAGTGAATCTCTTCTCATCAATGGACCCGGCGGGGTATTGATCCCAACAAACTGCTCCACATTGCATTGGTACTTCGCTGTACCACATATGACTTTACTACTCCATGCTAAATGTTGCATTGTATGTTGTTAGATATCTCGTGGTAGATAGTATTTTGTAATTAGCTTCACGACATTGGAAAAATCAATTATTGCAATAAGTATTGCAGTATTTATAAAGAAAAAAAAATATATCAAAATGAATCAATTTCTCACAAACATGTCTATTTAGGAGTGACCTAAGCAGCAAGGATGAAAAAGATTATGATTGGCACAGAAAGCACACAGAGCTCATGCAAAAGTAGAGATGGTAAACTTTAAACTAATGTTAAATATGTACTAATAATCGTGAAAAGGAACGGTCATTAAAATTGCACAGCTTGCTGTTTTGTTTTCTTTAACAATATAAATGTTCTAGCGATATATATATAAAACCATACTGCCACCCCAACTTTTGGTGGTACTGCATGTTGCGTACATGTCGCGTTAATTCCACCCGTAGGTGCACAGAAGATACATGATGGCCATGATGTGCATACGTTGTGAGCGTCGAGTTTAAATCTACTCTTCCAGCCCATAGATTTTCAGGCTGCAGTTGAGAGAACAGTTGACATTGCTGTTAATGAATTGGAGAACAGCTTTGGAATGATGTGTAATGTTACACAGCAGTGAGAGTAAAAGGGATCAGATGTCATCAAGTCATTTTCAGTGTTTTGTCATGATGTATTGCTACATTGCTAACTATGGCAAGCATGAAATACACATACTTGTTAAATGGTACTGAGAACCCTTACCAAACAATGACTGTGATGTCGCAGCTGTTCAGAGGGAATTGCAAATGTTGAAAATATTACTGAGAGCCCTGAGTAGAATTCTGCTTCCTTCAAAATGATTAATGACCTAAAAGTCACAGTGATCACATGATGTCTCGAGTAGTGATGAAACCCAGTATAATTAATGGCAGGATTTTTTATTATTATTTTTTGTTTGTATTTGCTTTGTTCTTTGCCTGAGGTTGAGAGCATTAGTTTGAGAGCCCGAGACTGTGTGTGTGTTTGTGTGTGTGTGAGAGAGAGAGAGAAAAATGTAATTTAGTAGAGAGACTGAGAAGAAACAGAAAACCGGCGCCCATGAATACTTGTGGGACTTGTCTGCTGGCGGTCGATGCATAACCTGCACGATCAGCATGAAGCTGTTGACGAGCATGTTGGTACTGGATTATGATTGTCCAACAGTGGTTATTTTCATGATCATTGAAGAAGGAAAGTCTCTGACAGAAGAGCATGTGACGGGGAGACACCTCTTGACTGAGGCACAAAAACTGGAACAACTCGTAGCAGGTTATAATGGTTATGGATGCTGAGCCATTTCGCTTAACCTCAAATTGCCTCTTTTATTGAAGTACCAATATTCTACTTCAAGCAACAAAAGACACAGACACAGACACAGACACAGACACACACACACACACACACATCAGGGTAGGTGGGAAGAGCCACACCTCCAATTGGCCATAGAAAATAGTGCAAGCACCTACAGGGCCTAAAGCAGTTAAGAAGTGGTAATAGAGATAGTAGATACAGAGATGACTCTCGCCACTGCAAGTAAAGATTGGGAATTGCTACCTAAGCTATTCAGGAAATTTACACTCTCTCAGGGTGCTGAAGAAAGTACATCTGGCCTGTAGATGGGTACCTGTGATCCCACTGGTAGAAGACCTGAGAGCTGCATGAGAAATGTCTGAGAGCAGTAAAGTGGTCTGTGTCTTTGAATATAATGAAAATCTTTTTCCTCTGTGCGACATACAAACAAAACAGGCAATAACAACAGGGATATTTTTTTGTTTTACAATTTTTTTCAATTGCTTAAACATAATTTTGAAAATTGGGCCCATATTTTCAAAACACTTCACACAATTTGCACAACACTACACCCAAGTAGCAGAACAAGTTGCAAAATGAAATACTATGGAATGTGAAATGAAACACAGTAAAAACTCTACATTGTTTTATAAAAACACTGTTTTATCATATTGTACACACATGAATATTATTAGCCAACTCATTTTGAATGACACTACTGCATTAATCCTAAACACATTTTGCATTTCTAGTTTCCTAACGAAAAAAGTACACAAAATATGTTCACCATACACCACATTAGATCAAATCTGCACATCTTTATTTACTGCAACCACTACAGACATGCAAAAGAGGGGGTGCAAATCTAAACATCTCTCCAACTTCCCTGCATCTGGCCACAGAGCTTAATTGACATCACAGGCTATGTTGTCATACGCAAGACATTGTGAGAAAAATCTTCTAGAATGTCAGATCCATCCTTGAATAGATACAACATCAATCTGATTACATGCATCTTCCATTGCTTGAATGAGAGGTGCATGAACATATGGCTGTAGATCATAAACCTTCCACCGCCATGCAGAGAAAAACTCTTCTGTTGGGTTTAGGAAGAGTGAGTACAGTGGGAGATAAAGACATATAAATTGTGGATGATCATGAAACCAATTTATGCATGGACCACCATGGACCAGAGGAGATCGGAGGAATGATACATTGGAGGAATGTACATTGTCCCAGGTGACAATGTATCGCATCTCATCAATTTGATTTGCAGCAATAACAATATTACTGAGTTGGTCTAAAAATGCCAGAAAGAGAGCTGTATTGTACGGACCTAAGGTGGCATGGTGGTGGAGGACTCCATTGCTGCACAGAGGGTGATGTTCCCCCCGTGTCGCCCTGGTCCATTTGTTCGATCGATTTGTTGGGTCCAATACACTCTGACATATTTTTTCAGGAGAGGTTAATGCTAAATGGAGTTGATGTCAAAATTAAAACGGTTCGAAACAACAGATTTTTGAGTTTTGTCTCATGAGCGAAGATGCTGAACAGTACTCGCTCAAAACAGTATCGGCATCCCTGTTAAAAAGGTTTCTGTGTCAACGGCTGTCAAACTGGGTCACGTGAGCGCCTTGCTGACATTTTCCAACAGTCGTTTAATGATATATGACTTGCCACAGTTGCTCGGTCCCGATATAATACAGGAGAATGGGTGCTGAAGTCTATTGTTGAACCCGTCATTAGTATCCATAAGGTAAGGTTGTCTAGTCAGGCTGAAGTTGCCGCTTAGTGTACACAACCTTCAAACATTTGCTGACTGTCTTATTTTTCAAAAGGAAGCCCCTTTTATCCCGCACAATCTGCTGTGTGGATGTCCTGATCTCTCTAGGGGGAATCACGTGGGAATCACGTGGGTTACTCATGCAACATGATTCCCTTCACTTTCCTGTTTGTTTTGCCCTTTGCCGTTCTGTACCCGTAAGTTTTGGGTCCCCCTGAGACAAATTCCACAATGTGATCATCTGGGTCCACCTCGCTTGTTAGTTGTCCCAAGAAAGTCACCCAAATGGGGAGCGTGCATGTGTCAAAACAGACCATACTATGGATAATTGTTAAACACATTTTTATTATTTTGTTACGTGTAAGTAAATAGAATAAAAACAGGTCCATAGCCTTTAGAATAGCATTTCAAAGACAATTAAACAGCATGTACATATCAGACGTCTGTAGTTATTTCGCCATTCACGCCTGTCGGGGTCTGCTTGAGCCGATGCATATGCCAGTAAGCCAGAACTGCTGCATACACATCACTCGTGTGATGAGGGTTTATAACCTCGCGCATTAACCCATCCAGCGTGCTGCGTATATCGCTCACATATTTCAACTTGTTTAAAACTGCATCAATAGCCCTTTGAACAATTGCGGCGAAGGGTGGATTTGGGTTTAGCACCGTAATACTGTTCACCATTACATCCACCAACCGTGGCGTGCACAGTTTTTTTGCAACCCTTTCAAAATTATAAAGAAGACAATATAGCTCCGGACCGTTGTAACATGTGCCAGCGTAAGTTGGTACAGTATGCTGCACACACACCTTACAAACATCATCTATTATTGTGTCCATAAGCCATGCCACTGTCCCTATAATAAATTGAACCATATGTAGAAGCCTCAAGCTTTGGCCATTGGAGTCTTCGACAGCAGCATCCACGGAATCTCCCACCGCCGCTGCCTCCTCCATTAATCCACCGCTGACAAGCTTATCGACATTTGAGACCAATTCTTCGGTTGGGCATCCATCGTCTGAACCTGTGTGTATATATAAACATATGCTGTCTTTCCACATTTTTAAACAGTAAAGCCATTGCCATGTCTGAAAACTTAAAATGCCATCCATTTTCTTCACCATCTTTACAGGGCATTCTTAACTCACCCGATAACAAAAAAAAAAACCTCGTCAAAAAATAATCTTAATGTTTTCACAGTATTGACAATTACAGCAATTATAAAATACAGTGGTACCTCAGTTCTCAAACTCATTAGAACTCGAATTTCTTAAGTCGAACCAACCAGCTAGGAAAAAACAAAAAGCCTAGAACTCGATCTGAATCTCAGAAGTCAAACCGTGAACTCCGACCTAAGATAACTTGTATGCGCTGGGAAATGAGTCACGCTGCACGTCTCTCAGCGGAAACCAAGGGTAAAGCTTTAGTCTCAGCCTCGCATTCGCTGTGATAGCATCATGCATGATTACACTAGCTGAATACATATATTTAGACAATAAAAACACATTTAGACAATGACAATAACTATTATTATATAACAAAATATATTTTAAAAAAGATAATTAATTATGTTAATATTAATAATAAACCATTAATACATTTAATTATAATAATATTATCCTGCCAGCAGGGAAGTAACGGAGACAAAGGCGCAGACGTCAGGGTATCGGGTAATACGGGGTTTAATTGCAGGTAAGGCAGGCAAAACCCAGACGGAAAATACAATGACCGGACTGGGGAAACAAACTGAAACGCAGACTAAATACAGAGGACTAATGGCAACAACCAGAAACAGCTGATCACACGGGGATTCCACACGGGGTTAACGAGGGGGCGTGGCACACGGAAGGAGCGGACGATCGGGGCGTGACATTAAAAATTTTAAACTTTACATATTGTTTAGATACATTTATTTTCTTACTTTAAAAAATTACTGTTTTGATAAATGTGCTTAGATGTAGTACAGAACTGTATATGCTTTTCTCGTTTTGTCTGGTTCATTTTGTGTTTAAATGCAAAAAAAAAAAAAACATATTTCGGTGTAATTTTTTGGAGTCGGGAACCAATTAATTGGTTTTCCATTATTTCTTATGGGGAAAATTCGATTAGAATTCGAACTTTTTAGGATTCTATCCGGAGTTCTGGACGGATTAATTTTGAGTTCTGAGGTACCACTGTACATTTAAATGAAAATGTAGCATACCTCCAGTTTAGCGTTTCCGTCGTCGGGGTGCTTCAAGATTTCAGATGTCTGCTGTATTTTACGCATTGTCTCTCGCGCCCCTTAATAAGCCCCAGCTTGTTGGGGGTATGATTGTGACAGCTATTTTACCAATCATTATTTTTTGGTTTTGATGCTTGGTTTCGGTAAACATCGGCGACGGTTTATGACATTACAGCAAATGGACAATTGCTTGGGAACTGGGGGGCTTGCTCCACCACCAAAATCATTTCCAGCGCGTAGTTCGAAGAGAGCGAACGCATGAGACTATTGCTCCGTTGCGGAATAATAGCAGCATTGACCCTGCTGTTTGTGCGACATCGACGGAACCCAGAGTCGGTGTCGATGGATCTTCACGTTTGGTGAAATACTTTTTCTATTTTACATTGAACTAAAACTGTTAAACTGATTACGGCTTTTTCTCGTTTTTAAAAACTTGGGCTAAAATATTTGTGCTTGTTTCGCATTTGCTCTTTTGACAGTGTTTCGCTCGGGCTTGCCTCTACTTGTTTAAAAGTTAATAGTTTGGGACTTGTGCCGTTTTGTGCTTAAAATACGGAGTATTCTTTAAACATTTCGGTTAAATATAATGAGCTTACGTCCTTTTTCTTTTAAAATAAGGTGCCGGGCGCAGGTGTCTACACCATGCATGCGCTAGCTTACATTCAGCCTACTATACGCTTTATTATTCCTTTAAACGTAATTAATAAATGTAACCATTGTTTTAATACAAGCTTTAAATTACTAATTAAAATTTTAGCTAGGTTGTGGGGGAACGGGGGCAGCTGGCCCTGTCAATCATCGTTGGGGTGGGGGGCATGCAGCTGGACCTGTCAATCATTGGTGATGGCGTCATGGGGGGGGGGGGTGTTAAGCCCCGCCCTAAAGTGCCACTTAACCTTTTTTCTCCTTTATGACCAGAATGTCACCTGATATCCATGTGATGGTTTCAGAATGATACAGTTGCTAACGCATGGTTTAATGCGTTGACTCTTTTTTTCCAATTCACTTCCATCTGTGCTTATAGGAATTGCTTGAGTGAAGTGAAATATTTATAAATGGAGTAACACCTTTATAAAACTAATGCCATAGTTCTGTGTTGAAAGTGTACTAAAAGTCAGATGCTATGAGTGAATAGTTGTAAAGGAAACTATGAGTCTTGAAAGAATCAGTATATTACTGACATAGTAGTGAAGGTTTTTGATGTCTTATTTGTTTTTCTATCTTATCGTCCTGCAGATGTGGTTGTCTTCTATCACCCAAGCAAAAGTGGATTCCAATTAGGACAAGAGAATTCCAGCCCAATGCAAGCTTCTACATGGACTGCGAGTGGATTGAATAATCCACCCCTAGGGCCAGGCCTAAATGCGATACCCAATATTCACTGGCATGCATTTAATAGAGGGGGGGCTAATGGAATTCATTACTCCCACGTTGATCAACATCAGTCAGGATTACATACTCCACTATCACAGTTGATCAGACATGTTGAAAATCAAAGTCACTGGAATCAGCAGCTGCCACAAGCGCCGACAGCACATAACACAGTCACACAAGCAAATTTCAGAGCGACTGCTTCGTCATTGGCGTCAAGAAATCAATATGTGTTTCGCAGAAGTGGTCCCTGCACTACCTTGTCAAGCAACGGAGTGCAGTGTGGTCCATCATCAAGCTGGTATTCTACTCAGAGTTCAAGTGTGGTGCAAATGGTAGTAAGTGCTCAACAACTAACAAATTGTGGCCAGGAGGCAAGCCCAGTTCATGGGGCAGTGACATGGGGACATAGACAAGGTGAATCTGCAGTTGGTTCATCAGTGGTGCAAAATGCCAGTGCAAACTATCAGCGTACCGGTCTTGAAGGCTTTTGTGCAACTTCAAGAATGAAGGCACAGGGATCACACTCAAACGGTTCTACAAAAGCTGCTAACATAGTCTCAGCTTTCCAAAGTGGGAATGACTTTATGTTCAGAAAAATCTGTGGACAAGATAGTTTGAAATCAAGCACAGTGCTGGTGGGTGCTAGAGAAACCAACCAGACAATCTCTAGCACCCCAGACCTACCTCTCTTGACCTTGAATCCAAACTCATCTTTTGCAAATGGCAGCAGTAATTCAAACACTACTTGTAATTCCAGCGGTCTCCATGTACAGCCTTCATCTGGTCCATATGACAATCGACAGCCTCACCAGAACTTCCCCAATAATTCCAGTGATGCCATCATCCCTCACAGCTCCACATTTAACCAGCAGCAAAGAAATACTGTCCCTGTCGTGCTTCAGCCCCCACCACCTGCACCACAACAAGTGAAAAGTATTAGCAATAATTCCCAAGGACCAGGAGTTGCATATGGGAATTTATCTCACTCAAACACTACTTGTAATTCCAGCAGTCTCCATGTACAGCCTTCATCTGGTCCATATGACAATCGACAGCCTCATCAGAACTTACTAAGTAATTACAGTGATGCCATCATCCCTCACAGCTCCAAATTTATCCAGCAGCATAGAAATACTGTCCCTGCCATGCTCCTGCCCCCACCACCTGCACCACAACAAGAGAAAAGTATTAGCAACAGTTCCCAAGGATCAGGGAATTTATCTCATGTTTACCAAAACCAGGATTTGCTACATCAGAAGATATGCCAAAATAGAGCTGCAGAGTTCTCTGCTTTAGGCCAAGAGAATGACCAAGCCAGTCACAGAATATCAAGTATGGAGCCCATTCATAGTTTTTGCACCACCACAAATTCCTCCTCAGTGTTTGCTGCTAATCCACGTACTTTAAAATGTAGCTACAGTTGCCCTTCAAACCATATAGTGAAGTCATGTGGCCAGCAACACAGTGGAAATACTGACCCTTCAGCAAATCAACAGAGAAAGGAGTACTATGCCTCAGTGGTGCAGGACAGACAAAGAAATCCTGAAAACAGTCCATCTCCAAGTAACACTTTGGTTGTGGAGCAAAATCAGATGCCTATGGGCAACACTACTGAAGTTGGCTCTGACAAGCCTTCAGGAAGGTGCAATTACCAGAATGATTCTGAGAACAGATCCAAGTGTCTGGATACTGAGGCTTTGTCTCCAGCATGTGTTTGGCAACTTGAGTACATCAAGAACCAAAAAAAAATGTCTACGTCATTGACGGGGATGAAAGCAATTGCAGTTGTTCCTCCAATATCACAGCAGTCAAGCACTGACCAAGCAAGCAGCATTACAAATGAAGATAAAGAGTGCAAGGTTCAGACTTCTTTTCCCGATAAAAGTGCTGAAGGGAATCCTGAAAGTGAACCAAATAATTCTGGTTTATCTCATAATGTAAAAGAGAGCATACCCACCATTTTCTCATCAGACAAATCTTTATGTAACATAACACCTGAAAGCTCCACAGCTGTAGGTTTGGTTAAAGCAGGGCTATCGATCCAGGAATCTGCTGTGTCAGCAGAAAGCCCTGCTGTCAGTGTTGGGAGCGGTTCTCCTCGGCTGAGTGGCAACAAAGACCAGCAATTACTTATGAAGGAGGATACATTTGATTTATCGACAGTACCACTCATTTCTTGGACTGCTGACAAACTCAGGGAGTTAATTGCCACACTGGAAGATGTTTCAACACCATCTGACCCCAAGGTGGAGGAGAGTTCAACACCTCATATTGTTAGAACGTTTTGGAGTGGCTGGGAGCAATATCTCTACTATGCATTAAATTCAAATGTTGTGGAGACTATTGTTGATACTTGGAGGACATGCACCGAAGATGAAAACCCAGTCATATTTTCAGAAATGAATGCTCCAAGCAATGTGAAATTAGCAGAAAACTGTCTCATTTTGGGATCAGATGACATTTCTAATGATCTAGAATGTACACCATTGCCGTTCAATCTCTGTGAATGGACTGACAATGTAGACAAACGGCATATAAACCCAGTGAGACCTGTAATACACATAAATGAGAGGGAGAATCAGAGAACGAAGGCTGATGAGATAGAGAAGTGCAAAGTGGAAGAACCTGTCACTGACACAATGGATGTTGAATTACTGCAGAAACAGTTCCAGACTGAAGCGCTAGGCCCTCTGGAGGAGGTGTCTGATCCCCTGTCCTTGTTAGAGATTAAGGTTTTATCACCTACAGAGGCAAGAAACCTGCACCTTTTCGACAGCCAGCAAAGACAGGATGACACAGTAGAAGATCCTCAAACTAAGCATGCAGAAGAAAGCATCTTGGAACTTAAAACCAAGATGTCCGCTGCCATTGACAGTGACTTAAATGTTGATCTTGAAGTTCTTACAGCAGCTGCCGTAGCATCCAAGCAGCTATGGAGCGAACAGCTTTCTGCACAAAAGCTGTGCGGAAGCGAGAGTAACAAAACCAGTACTAAAGATGCGGCTTTTGGGAACATAGAGACAATTCTTAAGGAAAGTACTGTTAAGGGTATGCAGTTGGGGGGGCTTCAGGAAAACTTGAGAGGGACTGTGTCACGCTGTTTAAGTTTTCACAACAGAAAGAAGGAAAAACTGATGCAGAAATCCAAATCCAAACTGCCATTTCAGAAACAGTTACTTGAAAATGTTAAGACGGTTCAAAAGGAGTTACCCAGTTCCCTCCCTATTTCTGGCATTAAAAAGTATGTGGATTGCAGTCGCAGTAATCAACAAAAAACAGTAAATGGCACCAAGAAACACAATGAAGACTCTTTGAAGGTCCCAAAACTGTCTCTTAGCAGATACTGTCAAAGCCAGCAAGCAAGTGAAATCAAGGCTGAGATTCTGAGAAGTGAAAGGTCTCAGATACTGTCAGTGGTGGTAGAAGAAGGCATTGCCAGTCTAGCTTTATATGGTTCTTCTGCTCAAAGACAAAAACACATAGCTGTTTCCAGCAGACAGCCTGATCTTAAGCCTAGTACAAGCACCATGACTGGGCCTCCTACAAAAAATACTCTAGAATTTCACTTCCAGAAGAGAAATCTTTTGGAAGAGGGCCACCTTGAAAAAGGTAGCAGAGCAAAGCAAAAAGTATATTCTTCCTGGGAGAAAAGTTTTGTTCATCGAGGGGATGATTTTAAATCAAAGGTGATGCCAACCAAAAATAGCACAGGAAAGGATTCACATAAACTTGGTAATGGAGATGCCGAAAAACCAAAGGCGTCGTCAAAAATTGCAAAGATTGTGGAGGAAGCCAAGAGTTTCAACAGTAGGGTATCTTCCCCAAAACAGGGTTGTCTAGTCAAAATCTATTGTGATAAATATGGGAAGTACACAAGCATGACTCAAACAGTCAGTTCTGCTTCCAAAGTTGTTCAAAGGACAGACCCAGGGCAATTAAAGAATGGAATGGTCCACAACAAACCCCAGCTGTCAAAAAAAGATGAACAGCTGCTGTATATCAATGGGAAGAAAAGGAAATCTTCCAAAAAGGGGGGACCAATTCAGGCATCGAAAAAGATGTGCAGATCAATCTCCAGCATTCCTGTGGGGAAAAGCAAATGTGAGATCATCGTACCTGGCTCAAATGCCAATATCAGTGATGGAAAAGGTACTGGATTTCAAGCAGTTGTCAACGTCTCAAGAGACAACGGTGTTGAAGAACCCCTTGAAAGAACTTACAGGTAAGCATAGTGGAATGGAAGATGAATTGTGTCTTGGTTGGTATTGCTTTTTGGAGGGTGCTGCTCTGCTTTGGCTGACGAGATATGAAATTCAGAATTTCTCCAGACTTTGCCTGTCGCCAAGGAAGTGACCACACTGAAGCACTAAAGATGACAGTCTTGAAAATGAAAAGTAAGTCTGTTATGAGTGAATTCGCCAGATTTGGTGTGGATATTCTATTTTTTGCATGTGTATGGAGATGCTGAGTTTTATAATCAATGTACTACAGATCTATAATGCTGTCTTACAGGTCACCCGTGTTATGATCCAAATAAAGACCCAGTCTTCCCTGATGCACCCTCACACAGAGCTGGCAAGTCACGAATAACCTATGAAGAGTACAAGAAACGATATTTAGGAAAGGCTGTGAAATGACAGATCTCAGAATGCACTGCATAGCTTGACACCATCCTGCTTTACCACGTTTCCAATGGAAACTCACTTTCTCATTTCTCCCTTTAGATGCAGGGATACCTTACAGAATTGTATCACATTCACAAACAGGAATTGTTGCATTTTTTTTTTTACTTTGAAATATTATTCTGTACCTAAATTAAATGACAATAAGCACAGTAAATATGGATAAATGTGACCTGTGTAATGAGGACAGCATTGAGACACATGTTTACCATTTAGTATTACTTCCAATTGATTTGGGCAAAAGCCTGTTATGAAGAAACAAGTCGGATAGGGCTTTTACTTTGGGGTTAATGAAGTATTAGGATACATTGATTAAATAGGTGGGTTAGGGGATGTGTTGTCTTTGGGAGTGAAAAGTGTAAGATCACACACTCACACCCCCAGCCAAGACCATCCAGAAAAGAAAGAAGACGAGGGACGACATTTTCTTTATAAATATATCTCACTGATTTTCTTTTTATGTTTTTTATTTCCGAATACAGTGATATCTCGGAACTCAAAGTTAATCCGTTCAGAACTCCGGATCGAATCCTAAAAAGTTTGAATTCTGATCGAATTTTCCCCATAAGAAATAATGGAAAACCAATTAATTGGTTCCCGGCCCCAAAAAAATTACACCGAAATGTTTTTTTTTTTTTTTTTAGGATTTAAACACAAAATGAACAGGATAAAACAAGAAAGCATATACTGTACTAAACACATCTAAGCACATTTATCAAAACAGTAATTTGTAAAGTAAGAAGATAAATGTATCCAAACAATATGTAAAGTTAAAAAAAAAAACTGCCTCGATCATCCGCTCCTTCCGTGTGCCACGCCCCCTCGTTAACCTTGTGTGGAATCCCCGTGTGATCAGCTGTTTCTGGTTGTTGTCATTAGTCCTCTGTATTTAGTTCGCATTTCAGTTTGTTTCCCCAGTCCGGTCATTGTATTGTCTGTCTGCGTTTTGCCTGCCTTACCTGTAGTTAAACCCCGTATTCCCCGATACCCTGACGTCTGCGCCTTTGTCTCCATTCCGTCCCCGCTGGGCACAACATTATTATTATAATTAAATGTATTAATGGTTTATTATTAAGATTAAAATAATTAATAAGAAATCTTTATTTTTAAATGTATTTTATTATATAATAATTACGATGCTATCACAGTGAATGTGAGGCTGAGACTGAAGCGTAACCCTTTGTTTCCGGTGAGAGACATGACTCATTTCCCCACACATACAAGTTATCTTAGGTCGGCGTTCACGGTTTGACTTCTGAGATTCAGATCGAGTTCTAGGTAAATTTTTTTCGAACTGGTTGGTTCAACTTTTAAGAAATTTGAGTTCTAATGAGTTCGAGAACTGAGGTACCACTGTATAGGCATATATACACTGCTCAAAAAAAAAATTAAGGAACACTTCTTAATCAGAGAATAGCGTCAAGTCAATTAAACCTCTGGGATATTGATCTGGTCAGTGAAGTAGCAGAGGGGGTTGTTAATCAGTTTCAGCTGCTTTGGTCTTAATGAAATTAACAACACTAGATGGGCAACAATGAGACGACCCCCCAAACAGGACATCTTTTCTGACTGTTTTTTCACTAGTTTTGCGTTTGGCTATGGTCATTGTCACTACTGATAGCATGAGGCGATACCTGCATCCTACAGAGGGTGGGGGTACGATTTAGAGTTGCTGCAATGAAATTTTGGCAAAATGGACTAGCCTGCTGCATCATTTATTCACTTTGATTTTCAGGGGTGTCTTTGAATTCAGCCTCCCTAGGTTGATAATTTTCATGTCCATCAGATAATGTGGCATCCTTTCATTCCTAACACAGTATTCAGTCCATGTCAGTATAGATATCCAGCATGATTTTTTTTTTCCATTTGAGATCTGATGTTTTCAGTGTGCAGTGTGAGTAGTGTATATGTTTGTGTGTAGCATAGAGAACTTATGAAACATTTAAAAGAATGTAACCATATGTCTTAGTAGGTGCCATGTATATTATTGACCCTGTGTGAGTGCCTGCTTGTTTAACACCATTTGGTGACGTCTCCCCCTCTGCATTGCCGAGTCTCTTGCTTATGAAGCTTTTGGTGATCTCATAAATAAGCCAGATGGCCTCTTTCCCTTCGTCTCATCCACCTATTACAACACATGAATGAATTCATAGGAATTGGCCCAAATACTGACATCAACCAATTGTAATAGTTCCACGTTAACCATAAAATTGTACCTTCCAAATGTTTGAGACCACTACTCGAGGAAATTAACAGCAACTTAAAACAAACCTAGGATTAGGTTTGATTGTCTGATATGTTCAGTTCAGTTTAGTTTATTTGTCATATGCAAGTTAGCACAGGGTCAACATACATATGTAATATAACCTCTGTCAATATGTAATTCAACCACTCATGCTATGTACTGATGGTGGGTAACCAACATTCAAAGTGCATTTTAAATTAAGAATTAATAAGTGCATATGGTGTGTATACCTCCAGATTGTGATGTCAGGTTTGGTATCAAAATAATGGGAAAATGCTCCTTAAATCAAATCTGATAATGAATTGTCATGGAATTGTATGTATCCAAAGTTAAATGTCTTTAATCACAGTCACCTCCAAAGTGGCATCAGTACATGGTCATAAATCCACAATCCCCCTTCACACTCCCCTTGACCAGTACTCTGGCCTTATGGCACTGGTCATCGGTCCAAGTGTCGAATTCCGAAACATCGATACTCATGGACCTCGGACCACAAAATCCAGTGCCTCAGATCCAAACCCAGAGATTGGGGAGAAGAAAAAAAGCCACAAGACTGAGAGCCTACAGAGGAGGCTCCACACAAAGACCTGTCCATACCCTGCTCCCGCTCATCACTGCTGCATCCAACTTCCAGAGACTCCATCAGCAACTAAGTAAACCAGCTGTTGTTCACGTTTCACCTGTGTTATAATTTGGGTTATGCTTTCAAAATCTGGTGCTTGCTGCACAATGCAGTATTTCCCTGTAAGGCTGCTCCTGTAATTTAGTCATTACATTCCCATATTGCATTCTGTCAGCCTTGTGTTATGTTTGATGTTTAGCGTAATGTCAGTCACGTTATTAGTTGTAGTAATAAATATGTTTTTTTCATATAAATCTGTCTGAGTGATTCCCTAATAAGTCCCTTCACTTGTGTGAACCACTTTATACTTATGAGGCCCCACACTCGTCTTAAAGTATCGGCCATGAGAAGGGCCTCATCGCAGAATCGCTACATAGCCTAGGGAATGAACAAACATTCTGACCCAGGTTACGTAGTGATAGTGTAATCGGTGGATTCAACTCATATCCAAAATTAAAATACAGTGGTACCTCGGTTCTCGAACTTAATCCGTTCCGGACTTCGGATCGAATCCTAAAAAGTTCGAGTTCCGATCAAATTTTTCCCATAAGAAATAATGGAAAACCAATTAATTGGTTCCCAGCCCCCCAAAATTACACCTAAATATGTTTTTTTTTCTTTTTTTTAGCATTTAAACACAAAATGAACAGGATAAAACAAGAAGAGCATTTTTTTTCTTAATGGCTTCCAAAACGATAAAGATCTTATCCCAACATTACCCCTGTCCTGCCCCGATAGTCCGCTCCTTCCGTGTGCCACGCCCCCTCATTAACCTCGTGTGGGATCCCCATGTGATCAGCTGTTTCTGGTTGTTGTCATTAGTCCTCTGTATTAAGTCCGCGTTTCAGTTTGTTTCCCCTGTCCGGTCATTGGGTGCGTTCGACTTGCTTACAGCGCTGGCTTAAAGCAACACATTCTGATCCTGATGCAATGCATTACGGCTAGATGCATTGCGACCTCTCACCCGGCTGCACAAACTGGAACCGCCTCCGTGATGACACACCTTTGCCCTTATTGGCTGAAGAGTTTAGTTACACGCATGACGTTTCTATCCCAGGCAGTTCCGATGCGTAATCTGCTATTTCTCCCAAATATCACATAAAGCAGTGAGAACTGGTTTTCAGTTAATTTACCTGGTAAAATAAAGTTTAAATAAATGACATAAATGCTCTAATAGTACACGTAAGTTAGTGGTTTATTTATTGTTAGTTACTGTAATGTTGCGCTGCTTTATTTGGTTAATCGTCCAGTCTGTGAAGAAGGCATTCAAGTAAGAATTGCATTGTAGTATGACTCATTTCCTGGCGCGTGCAATTTATATTAGGTCAGCGTTCACGGTTCGACTTCTGATATTCAGATCGAGTTCTAGGTCAAACTGGTTTGTTCGACTTTCAAGAAATTCAAGTTCTAGTGAGTTCGAGAACCACTATATTTCATATATTTTATAATACCACTGTATTTCATTGATTACTGAGTTGGTAAATCCGTAATATAGTTTGGTGGAGACAAATCATTTGACTCTAATTTTCCCAACAGAAGTATCACTGTTTTCTGTTAGAAAAATGCTGCAGACCAATTCAGAGAAAAAAGGAGACAAACAGGTCAGGAAGATGATAGAACACTTTATGGAATAATTTAAACACACAGAGGGTTTAAAATAAAAGAATAATGAGCCTTCATGAGGGGAGTCTATTTACAGGCTTGCCGGGACTCTTCAAGCTACCACCTCAAAGGCTTCATCCCCGAGCTTTGCTCCGCCTCCAGGTACCCATCATACAGCTCCCGAAGGTGAAGGAGCAGCTCCTCCACATTGTCACCCGTAAGTGCCGAAACAGGGATGATCCTCTGCTTCTCGTGTCTCCTGAGTTCAGCTAGGCTATCCCGGGCCTCAGGAAGGTCTATCTTATTGGCCACGATGGCCTGGGGGCGTCGGGACAGCCCAGGCTCGTACTGGTCCAGCTCGAAGCGTAGGTCTCGCAGCTGGGCCCCCGGATCAGCCGCAGACAGGTCCAGGACGAAGAGCAGGAACCGGCATCGCTCAATGTGCCGCAAGAAGGACACGCCCAGGCCGCGGTTCAGGTGAGCGCCCCGGATGATCCCTGGGATGTCAGCCACTGACCGTGACCGTGAACGACCGTGTTAACAGACCTCGCGGCTAACCAAATAACGGTTAAGGAAAGTATGCGCTAAGACTTACGCACCTGCTACCTGCTCATAGTCCTGGTACTGCACGATGCCTACGTGTGGCTTGAGTGTGGTGAAGGGGTAGGCAGCCACAGCCGGCCTGGCGTTAGAGATGGCTCTCAGCAGGGACGATTTCCCAGCATTGGGGAAGCCCACCTGGGGAGCGGTGCATAGTTACGCACGGCCGCACCTCACCATCCGGCCCTTCCCAGCATGCCGTGCACTCACCAGTCCCGCATGTGCCATGGTGAGCAGTTCCAGCTGCAGCACCCGCTCCTGGCCCTTCTCTCCCGGCGTGGTGGTAACCGGCGCCCGGTTCTCGTTCGACAAGAAGAAGCGGTTCCCCTTGCCCCCGGCTCCGCCGTACACGGCGACGTACTCCTGGCCTTCGCGGGAAAGGTCTGCCATGGTATTCCCGTTCTCCTTTATCACGGTACCGACAGGCACCTGCACCACATGAGACAGACGGGGCAGGCAGGCTGTCATCGGCACTGAGGCCAATATGTCCACATCAGGACAGTGACATAGGGGACGGACACTCACATGGATGTAGGTCGTGTTCGCGTTGCGGCCAAAGCAGTTCTTGCTTCCCCCTGCCTGTCCGTCATGCCCTCGGTAAACCGGGGCAATTGCTGACAGTGACTTCACCTGCTGATTAACTTAACCATGCAAAAGGTAGGAAAACTCGCTGTAAATGTAAGGCTCTGGGGCTTGAGGAAATAAGCACAACCATCACCTTTCACAAAATTCTAACTCATCTCGTCCTTACTTTCTCCAAGTCTGTGCCATATCTTATCCAGGTATATGACATCACTCAAAAGCTATAGTGTAGGGTTCCCTAGTTCTGGTCCTGGAGGGCCAGAACCCAACACATTTGCAGATTTTCTTGTTTAAACACACACACTAAACCTGACAATTAGCTGATGAAGGTGTGTTTGAGAGGGAAAATATGCAAACTGTGAATTCTGGTCCTCCAGGAGTGCAATAATTGAACCCTACTATAGTGACACCATCCAACCATACTGTTTATCCAATAGATCAGGGGTGTCAAACTCCAGTCCTGGGGGACCGGAGCCCTGTGTAGCTCAGTTCTTTCCCTGTTCCACCAGAAATGATTCAGCTCAAGAGCCGTGTGGCAATTAGCACAAGGAGTTGCATCAGGTGTGTTAAATGAGGGGAAAACGAAAAATGTGCTGGACTTCAGCCCTTCAGAACTGGAGTTTGACACATCTGCAATAGATCAAGGGTAGGCAGCAGGTTTCCATCCTACCTGGTCTCTACTGAACCGCACTTGAAATCAGGCAAATAGTAACTCATCAGGTAGGATGGAAAACCTACTGGATACATTGACTCCTGGATCAGAGTTGCCTACTCCTGCAATATATGGTTGTAGGGAGGGCCTTGAACCTATACTAGACAGGAATGCGCAAAAAAGACAAAGGGATGCCCAAAACAGCATGTCAGTTGTTGGAGCTGCCCTCTCCTCCAGGTCCGTTGATGAGAAGAGATTCACCGCAGAGACGAGGAGTAGTTGCAAGTCACCAGTTTATTCTCTTGACTGATTATAATCAGGGAGCGACTATCTGACATACATTCAGCATGTACAGCACGAAGCTCAAACAATAGTTATCGGTTTTGTCTTCTTATAGCCCTTCTGGGGTGTCCCCCCCCGCCTTCTTCTGGTATTTTCCCAGCTACGTGACATCAACATGTTTTACATTTGCTCCAGTTAGTCAGTTAGTACATGTCTCCCCTCCCAGCATCTTATTGTGTCAGCATTTTGTACCCCCCTTTTGTGAAGCAAAAGTTAAAATAAGCATGTTCCTGTTTTCCAACTGTCTGGGACGAGGTCACCCTGTCCTGCCGGCCCACTGTCCGTTCCTGTTTTCTGTTAGCTGCATTATTTTAGAAGCTGCATTATTTTAGAATTAAAACCTCACAGTCTATCACAGGACACTCATGTGTACACACTCACAGTTACACATCATGAGCAATTTAAAAATGATAATATACCAAACTGCAGAAGGAAACTGGAGAAGACACAGGAAACCCAAACAAATCCGGAGAAAATGCCACATGCAGAGAGAATAAGAATAAGAGAAGTCAATCAATACCTTTAATGACCACATTTCCACCGTCGCCACCGTTTCCCCCATCTGGGCCTCCCCACTCTTTCCTGGGTTCACTGAGGAAGGAGCAGGACCCTTTGCCACCGGAGCCAGCCGCCAACCTTACTCTGCGCTGATCAACAAAGTAGCTAGTCTAGTGTAACAATCAGTGGGAGAAAAAAGTATATTTCTGTTATTCTGCATGTTTTTGGAGTGCTGGAGCAGCCCACATGAACTGGGGAACATACAACATACAAACTCACACACGCAGCCTGGAGCAGGACTCAAAGCGCCAGTCCCGAAGGCATGAAGCCACATTCAATATGCAGTCACCGGTGAGAACTTATTCACTTACCAATTTCTTCTCTGAAAGTTCTTTTTTTCTACTGGATCCCCGACTCGTGGTGCAAAGTGAGCAGCTAGCAGCGAAGCATCCAACTACACTAAGTCTTTCTCTGCAACACCCAGACAAAATCATACCACCTCTCCGTCCTGTCGTATGGGGCATATTCCTGACGTTTTCTTTTAAATCCCATCTTCGTCCAAAACATCGTGCTATTAACTTTGAAAACTAGATTTTAAAACGACGGCGGAAAGAAAATAAAACTGATGTTAACAAATGGTAATGTTATCCGTCATCACTGGTCAGCGATCTAAATTACATCTACCCAGTAAGAGCACGATGTCTTATTGTCTAGATCACTTTCTCTAACCAGTAACTTGCTTAGGGCTTCACAGAGGCTTTCCATGAACTTAAGCTGCCGCCATAAATGAAATGACAACTAACTATCTAGCAGCTCTTGTCTGTTACGCTATTTGACAAGCTGACAGCAAAACACGTTACCATTATTATCTTTTATCAATTCTGAAGTACAATGGGCCGACAGACATATCGAAAGCAAAAACAACCACTGTATACTGCATGCTATCGCTCACTAAAATATCTGCTCAACCCATTTTTACGTACAGAAGTCTCTGAGCTAGACATTTTTTTAAAACATTTGGCGATTTATCTACATGTGTCCATACTCCTTACCCGAGGTAGCAACATATTTAGGAAACAAGTACGACAAGCTCCGAGGACCAATATTCATATACCGCATCACATTCACAACGCGTTTTAAAACGTAAATTTCCTGAAGTGGTTTACCAAGGGAAAACGGCACTCGTTATTTTTTTTAAGTGTCAACATATCACAAATTACACACACAAAGGTGAAAGATTTTATTATTTTATATTAAATAGTAACAATTAAAACAATACATTTCTTTAGTCGTGGGTTAACTGACTTACAGCCACATGTACACACCTTATAGTAAGATATTTGCACAATACACGACTCTCATACAGAATACAGATAATACATCCCATTTACAGCGACTGAAAAAAATTAAAAACGGACACTATGATTGTCCTGAAAGAGTTGTGCTGTCTGACAGCCATATTCATTATTTTAAACACCTTTTGTAGCATCAAAACGATGATAAATGTGCTGCCTCATTTTGAAATAAATAGAATTTCAGCACCATTTTGTATCTGCAACAGTGCCATAATGATTAATTGGCATGGTCAAGATGTAGGTTAATTTACATTTGCAATAGCAGGTATGGGGCTGTTCATAAAAGAATTATATATTGAGTTGTATATAATTATAGAGCTGTAAGGCAAATGTGTTTGTGGAACATTTAAAATGTATCTTTTAGCTTCTACTGCACTACAGATTACACTGTGACATCTGTAATACTCGTTAATACGACCTTTCGTGAGAACACAGGCAAAATGGACACTTCACTTAGCTACCATGTCACCATAAAAGCCTGTCATTGCCACATAAAGACAAAACATAGACACAATACATTCATTGTAAACCTAAGTTACAAAAAGTCCCCTGATTGGTAGAAACCAAACAGACTCTATTCTACCATTTTTTATAAAATACAAATTGAAAAATAGTAATATCTTTAAATCCAATAATTAATGTAACAAAAATGAGTGCTTGTAGTTGTGATTCAATAATGTTTGAGTTATACTGATTATCACTTGGGTGTGAGTCTGAGTTCAGTTCAGCTGACCCACAGATAAACTACCAGCTGTGAAGCTGCGCTACAGTATCATGACAGCATGCATTTCAGGTACAGAATTTCTACAGTATTCTGGCTATACTCACTACTTCATGATAGAAGTAAAGATGCTGTCTGTACAATTACATGCAGCAAAAATATATAGGTAGACCAACAGTCAGTATAGACTGCAAAATGTTCTTGTCTTTTCCACTAAACCTTTGGTAGCTGCTCAGCAGATCCCGTAATATAAATATAAATATTTTTCTTCCAATTAATGTAAACAAAGGGCTATGGACAAAACTGTTTTAGGGTTTAAAACAGGCATTAAAAGACCAAAGAACAACAATTTAAAAAGTGCATTTTAAAGAAAAATTATTAAGAAACAAACTTTAAAGTTACCTGAAAAACAGTAGAAAAATAATAGTTACAAAATCTTGCTCATTCTGTGAACAAGATGAAAACAACATCACTAAACTTAAAAATGTTTGCATAAACAGAAAAGTGGATATCTGCAAGCATCTGAGGCTGTCTGCATATTCCATAGGAAGGAGCTTTAATGAGACAGAACTTCTCAATATGCTACATATGAGCAGGAGCAAAGCAAGACAGTATGGCAGTAGGAAAAGGCGATTTTCATGATCAGAATTTCATACTAATACACAATACATGTATTAGTCATAGAGGTTGAGCAAAAAATATGTAATATCAATACTAAAATGTAAAAAAATGAAAATCAATTTTTACTTAGAACTATAATCTCATGGGAAATTTAAGGTTAATAAATGAAATTCTGGCAGCTCCCATTATCCAAGAGGAACTTGGTTATAATTCAAACTTCATAAACTTCTTTGCCAATTGGCCAAGCTTTTTTCAGGCATTCACGCCTCACTGTTGATAGTTCCCATACTGACTCTGAAAAAAATCAAGATTTTAAAGAAGTAGAATTGTGTAAATACAATAAAATATTACGGATAACAAGGCAATATAATTTACAATGCTACAACTTGGATAACCTGTGTGCTGTGTAACACTGGCACTATTCACAGTAACACAGACATGCATACAAAAATTCTCGTATACAGCAGAACAACCCAATGGCATACACAGTGTAACACCTCTGCTTAATAGGCCAGGTGCCCTGGGTGGTCACAGTGTGTGGCATTCCAAATGCATTTCACCTAAAATATCGAGTCTCAGACTCCCTCAGAGACCCACAGAGGCCATGCAGGGAGCCAATGAATGACTCGAATAGTAATCACATGATTAAATTCATAAATGGCCCAAAGAGCAGCACTGCCCCCAGACTCTGCAGGGGCCAGCTGTCTTTCATGCATCTGGAAGAGGCATTGGGTAAATACCTGCTCATATCCATAAGGCCTCTGTGCCTGGGTGCTTGGGGCAGCTTGAGACGGACGGTAAGAGCTGTACTGCTGGCCCTGCTGGTAGCCGGGGTACTGCGAGGAAACCCCCTGTGAGGAGCCTAGGATTGTGGGTGACCAGGGAAGGGTGTAAGGAGGGACAATAACAGGTAAACAACAACCACCCCATCCTGACTGCAGAGTCATAACACAGGGAAACCCACACAAACTTAATCTACAAACAACTTTAGAAGACCAGTTTGGCATTTAAATAAGTTTATCCACCCTTAAGCTTCATTTAAATATCGACTTTTACTGACATATTTGATAACAAACTAAAAACAGGCTCAAGGGAGGCCCATGTCAACAGCACTCAGTCAGGATGTGCTTACCGTAAGCTTTTCCGAAAAATCCAAAAAAAACTAATGAGCTAATAAGACTGATGCTAATTGGTTATTGTGACCCAAAGGTAAACTTCAAAGGCAATGTTTCAAATGTCAGCCTTGGGCTTTGAAATACAGGTTAAATAAGAAAAGCCCCAGATAGGCTGCAGGATGTGGGCCAGCTTGCTGTGTCAACCCCGGACAGAGCCCCGCCTTCTCCTCTCGGTCTGCCACTGACTGCCTACCATACGCCACCTGCTGCCCGCTGTAGCCCTGCTGGCTGGGGTACTGCTGCTGGTTGAAGGCCGCCTGGTTGGCACCCTGCTGGTAAGAGGCCTGTTGCTGGTTGTACTGGGAATTCCCTTTGGGTAAACAGTACAGAATTTTCCGGGTAAGGATAAGGCTTTCATGTATTTACGGTGTCATAATCAAGAAATAGTGTAGATTGACTGCTGTGTGGTTTTTAAATTTCACACTGATGTTGAATCTAATGCATATGCAAGGGGTGAAGGAGCTGGGAGGGAGGGGGGCATGTACTGTACTCCACAATATTTAAATTGAATTAATTCATCCCCCCAATAAAGACCTTTGTATTTAAAGTATTAAATTGTGTCTCCTACACCATTATAGACAGGCTAAATTTGCTAATCAGCTGCACTACTGGGCAACAGGAAGTAACTAGATATGAATGAATGGGGCGAGCGGGGGGGGGCTGAGTCTTTACTGGGGCTGGGGGCTGATTGCAAAATATTCATGGATTTAATGCAATAAATACACATTTATATAGGGGGGGGGGGG